GAGGCACAAGCCTTCAGGTATCAGTCCATGGGTGAGTGTCTAATGTTCGGTGCGAGTGCAGCTACAGTCAATTGGGGTGTATTCGTGCGTCGTTGTGGGACTTGCTGTCAGGTAGATCCAAGGAGATGCTGTTCTTGACGGTGTCTTCTTTAGTGTTGTGAGCCAACTATCTGCCATTCGGGCCGGGTCCTCTTCGGGGCGGGCGCAGGTTCCGTTTGCGACTGGGTAACTTCTGGTGAGCCCCATAGGCCCCAGTGTTTTAATGTGGACAGACCTCCTATTGGGTCATCTATAATGTGGAGCTTGTTGTTCCTCCAAATCATTAATTTCGTGGGGAACCCCCAACGGTAAGCTTGAGCGTGGTTCCGTAGGGTCTTGGTGATAGAGGAGAATTCCTTCCGTCTCGCCATAGTGAGGGCCGAGAGGTCTGCGAAAATAGAGACGGCACTGTAAGGGTCGGGCAGCGGTGACTGGGCCCTAGCTGCCTTGAGAAGTGCTTCTTTGGCTTTATAGTAATGGAAGCGCATGACGATGTCGCACGGGACTTCCGCTCCGAACCTGGGTGGCTTAGGAACGCGGTGGGCCCTGTCCAGTTCCCATGTGATACCGGATAGCCAATGTGGCACTTAAAGCTGTTATATATGCTGGGATCTGGTCTGCTGTGATGGACTCCGCTACCCCCCGAAACCTTACGTTGTTTCGGCGGGAACGGTCCTCCATGTCCGCCATCTTGTGCCACAGTTTGGTGTTGTCTTCCTCCAATTTCTTAAGCTTATCAGCCAGTAGGTTATGTGCCGAGCAGAGGTCATCTGTTTTGCGTTCGACCTGGTCAGTACGGTCACCTAACTCCTCCAATTCCTGATGAATGCCCGAAATGGCGGTAGTAAAATCCTCTTTAATTGTAGCTCTGAGGTCCATGAGCATTTGTTTCAAGTACTCTTTCGAGAATTGGGTGTCATCCGCAATTAATTGCGAGGGCGTCTCGTTATAGGAATCAGGTTCCGGAGACTGAGCTCTGCTGGCGACGCCATCATGGGCCTGTTTCAGCCGATCTTTTTTGTGGTGACGGACCGCGTCCGTTAATTTTGTTTGTTTCGAGGGTGACATAAGGGTCCTCTTGAACTTCACCTCCCGCTTGAATTAGTTAATTTTTGGGTTGTTTTGTATATTGGTTATAGATAATCTGGCCCGGGTGGTGCGGAGGTCCTACTCCATGCGACTGATCTTGCCGGAAGTTAGACATGCCCCACTTTTGCAATTTCTTTTTAATGTCACTCTGGGCCTAGCTGACGAATGCCAAATTAATCATACGAGAATTTACAGGGGCTTCGGGATTAAAAGGGGTATAAAGTCTGTATCTTTCAAGCAGTCTCTCATAAAAGGCAGTAGAAGATTGTGACGGACCGCCTGGCACCCCGACCGGGTACCTCCATCAATCGCTGCCTCCAGTACTGGCGAGTACCATAAGCACTGCACTGGAACACCATAATCACCGTAAACCCCACGAACCACCGCAGCTTGGTTGGGGTCTCGCTATCCTCCACCTACCTTGGACCCAAGACCAGGATCCAGCTTCCAGTGGGTAGGCCTCTCTTAGTGCCGAGAGCGTAGCAGGAACAGCTCTTACAAGAGCTTAGTGATTATACTCAGGGGAGTATAGTGATTATAGCAATCCCCAGAGTGTAGTTCTCCAATCCTCCAAACATGAGCCAAGACTTCATGAAGGTGCAAGATGATCTGATCTTTAATGGTTCAGGTTGGCTTTTATACAATTCTCCAGGCCAGAGGAACACCCCCTGGACCTGATAGGGCACAGGAACACAAAGGACATAAAACAATCAGAACAAACATACAGCCTGTGACACACCCATGTACAGCACACAATCCCTCCCCTCTGCTTGGGAGATAATTGAGCAAAGTCCTGTAAGTAACTCAATTATCTTCATGCAGAAAAAACACATTTTCACAAAGTTCAGAAAATACCCCAAAACATAACATACCCCCCAAAACATCCCTGGATAGCCCTGATCTGGGTGAACAACATATCCAAAAATCACCCAGATCAGAGCAGGGGTTCAAAAGTTTCATGAAAGTCTCTTTTTCACTGGCTGCAAGCATGGCTTCATGCCCAAAACAGTTCCAGTGAATTAGGGCCAGCGGTCGGCCTCTCTTTGTGGAAAAGTACTCACATTACATGAATGGATCATTTTAAAGTGGATTGGGCAAGGTATATTGCAGGGCCCATAGTCACAGGGTAGGAGGCAAGCAAACAGGCCCCTCCAAACTCACAGCAAAAGGGGAGATTGTCACAGAGATTAATTTTTCAGTTTTTTGTAATACTTCAGCTGTTCTTGATATGTTTATAGCATTTTTCCCACCTGCTTTCTTGCTATAATGGCTTGTTGGTAAATGAAAACAATAATGAAAAGTAGGCTCTGATCCAGAGGTCACAATGCAATGAGGGACAAATGGAACAGTGCCAAAAAAGTAGACATGTGCAATTCGTTTCGGTCCGAATATGAATTCGGACGAACTTCGGGCAATTTGGACATTCGGGTACTTCCGAATGTGCGAATAGCGAAGTGCCGAATTGCAGAGGTCCCGAAATTCTGAAATTACTGAATTTCCGAAGTGTCGAAGTGCCAAAGTTCCGAAGTGTCAAAATGCTGAAGTGCAGAAGTTCCGAAGCACAGTATTGCCTAAGTACCAATATACTTACCCAGTGGAAGAATGTTACACTGTATACAATTTTAAATAAAAAGTATACAAACGTAGCCAGGATTCAGCTGTAAGCATTTGCAACACTTACAACAATCAAGTAACATACATTCATATAAAATGTAAGTTACTTAGCCTGTCACTGTAATGACAGGAATGAATAAGTAGATAACTCCCTAATTCCGGTATTAGGGAGCTGTCTACTAAAAGGCTGAAAGACCTAAATTGGTAAATGTATTAGTAAATTATACCCTTACTCGCTATACTGTGAGTAGGGGCATGTCTATTAAACAGTGAGCAGCCAAAAAAACCAAACTATTGTCCTCCCCGCGCCCCCACCTCTGAGCGGTGGGTGGGGACCCTAAATATCAATTGGGGGGGACCTAATGTCCTCCCTCCTAGCCCCCACCCCTGAGCGGTGGGTGGGGGCCCTAAATACTAATTGGGGGGACCTAAAGTCCTCCCCCCGGCCCCCACCCCTGAGCGATGGGTCGGGGCCCTAAATTTGAATGGGGGGGACCTAATGTCCTCCTCCCTGGCCCTCAGCCTGAGCGGTGGGGGCCCTAAATTAGAATGAGGGGGGGACCCTAAAAACTAATTAGGGGGGGACCTAATGTCCTCCCCCTGATCCCCACCCCTGAGCGGTGGGTGGGGGCCCTCAAAACTAATTATGGGGGACCTAATGGCTTTCCCCCTGGCCCCCACCCCTGAGCGGTGGGTGGGGGCCCTAAATACTAATAAGGGGGAGGACCTAATGTCCTCCCCCCTGGGCCCCACCAAAGGATCAACAATCTTTGAATCGGACGCACACATGATTTCAACGGAGAGTCTGATCAAAGCAATACAAATATACAAATGCAGTTACAATTGACACACAAATCTCCTTATCAATAACACTACGTGGCGCGGTTACCAGGCCAGAACACACACGTACACACACGCACAGGTTCCTCACACGTTTCACAACATTAATGACGTCTCACACATACAGAACAAAATCAAAACCCACCAAAAGCCATACAATTATCTACACAGCTAGAAGTCAAAACCCACCAAAAGCTATGCAATTCGGATCACAAGGCGTTAGCAGCCTTCCATGAAAAGACTCCTGGTGACGTCAATCCCACCGCACATTTACTCTCTGACTCAGAGGACTCTCAGCCCTCGGATCAGGAGGTCACACGTCCTTGGAAAGGGAATAGTGTGTCTGCGGGCAAGGGCAGGGCTCCTGCCAAGTCCCAAAAATTAACTGTCACTCGCCCCGCCAAACTATATTCGACCCCTTGGAGGGTTCCACTTCTCAAATGGGCGATGGGGTGGAGGACTACTACCTTGGCTATTCTGATGAGGACCCCTCGGCGAATGCGCTAGGGGATACCCCATCAGAATTTGTCAAGGAGACAATCATTACCAAAAAGGACACAGATGCAAACATCTCTATGCCCAAGGGACCTGACTCAGACACCCTTCTGGATGCCTTGGGTGTCCCTTATTTCGACCCTAGGTTCATTAGACATCCACGTTCGGCCGAATGGGCCCCACCTGACCACATCTCCTGACCTTCCTCACTAAAACAGGGAAAGACCCTCGCAAGGGTATTGAGCAGGGTCTTAAGACAGCCCAGGACAAGCTCATGGATATCGCTGGTCCCATCATCCAAATTTTCATACTAGCTGATGAAGCTATAACTAGTGGGGAATTTGACCCTCACACAGTCTGAGAATGGGCCCAAAGAGCCCTATGTTTCCTGGGCAATGCAAATGTGGCTAAATCAACTGAGAGAGGTAGGGCGGCACTATATAAACTCAATGCTAAATTAGCAGACTTAAGCTCCCGAGAACTGGGACCAGAAGCCAATGGCTTGTTATTTGGGGACTCTTTCAGATCTGTCCAAACGTGCAGCGGTATTTACTACCTTAAACAAGGCCCAATCCTCCCTATGCAGGGTATTTCGCTCCCAGTCAGGTCATTTTTCTGGGAGAGCTGGACGTTATAGAGGCCGAATGAACAGCAGAGCTGCCTTCACAGGCTACAGGCCTTGTCCCTCAGAAAACCACATGCAGTTATTCACCAATAGAGGATCCAGCCGGGGACGTGGATCTGCCTCCTTACGCGGACGCACTGCTCCAGGTAATAAACCTTCCTTTTTTCAATGTACCTAAAGCAGGTCGACTAACCCATTTTTTCCAACAGTGGGAACTGCTTTCACAGGATCTATGGATCCTACACACAGTCAAGAGGTTCAAAATAGATTTCCTTTCCACTCCCTTCCAGGACACACCACCTACACCATTTCAGATGTCTGCAACAGACAACCTGGCATTACACACAGAATTGAAAAAACTGGTGGAAAAAGGGGCGATAGAAAGATCACCCTTCCCACATACCTTTCTAAACAATATTTTTCTGGTCCACAAAAAATCCGGAGACCTGCGTCCAATAATCAATTTGAAAGACCTGAATCACTATGTCAGATATCGTCATTTCAAAATGGAGGGCATCCATCTCCTCAGGGACCTCCTTTGCCTGGGAGACTGGTTATCCAGATTCGATCTCAAGGACGCAAATCTCACTGTCCCTGTCGCCCGCAACCATCTGGCTTTTCTTCAATTCCTCTGGCAAGAGGAAATTTGGCAGTTCACATGCCTCCCGTTCGGTCTTTGTTCCGCACCATGGTGTTTCACAAAGCTGATGAAACCAGTGATGGCGCTACTCCGATCACAGGGGATTCGTTCCATTGTATATTTGGACGACATCCTGATAATGGCTCAAGATCCAGACCTTTTACGTCAACACACGGACATGACGACGGCCTTATTACAAAACCTAGGTTTTGTAATCAACTTTCAAAAATCCGACCTGGAACCTTCTCAGAAAGTTCAGTTTCTCGGATTCCTAAAAGACTCCATACAGGCGATTTTACAACTATCTTCTACAAAGGTCAAGGCTATAAAGAAAGACATTCGCAAATTGCTATCAGCCCACCAGATTCGCCTATGCGATCTGGCTCATACCATAGGCCTACTGTCTACCTCTATCCGAGCCATTTATCCAGGACCCCTACATTACAGAGCCATGCAACGGCTCAAGACTTACTATCTAAACCTGTCAACCTTCTACGACCAACTGATCTACCTAACAGACGAAGTCCGTATGGAACTTCATTGGTGGCTTCACAACATGGAAACCTGGAATGGCAAAGCCATTTTCGGATCACAACCAGACTTCATTCTGGAATCCGATGCCAGTCTCTTGGGGTGGGGCGCTATGTGCGCTGAAAGGTCCACCTGGGGACTATGGTCCCCCTCCGAACAAGCACTGCACATCAATTGCCTAGAATTGATTGCAGGATCTTTTGCAATTCGCAGTTTCGCAAAAGATTGTTCCAATTGTTCACTAGTACTGCGCATGGACAACGTCTCTGCAGTGCGTTATGTGAATCGGTTAGGAGGTTCCCGATCCAAATTACTGTCCGACCTTACCAAGGAACTCTACCAATTCTGCCGAGAGCGGAATTTATCCATCAAAGCAGAATATCTTCCGGGTATGGAGAACCTAGTCGCAGATTGGTTCTTTCATCATTGGAGGGACGTAAGCGACTGGCAATTGGATCCCCGCTTGTTCTATCAAATTCATTGTCTTCGCTGGCCCCTCACACTGGACCTGATCGCGTCTCGGCTGAATAACCAGACGTAGGCTTTTTTCTGCTGGCTCCCAGATCCCCAGTCCTGGGCAGTCGATGCCTCCCTACACCCTTGGCCGGAGACAGGAGCTTATGCGTTCACGCCTTTCTCCATGATCCAGCGCACCCTTTTCTGGGTCAAAGCCCTAGTAGTGATGATAGTTATTTTCACTCCGCTATGGAGAGCCCAGACTTGGTTTCCAACCCTGCTAGAACTGTCTGTGAATTGTCCAATTCTACTACCTCGACCCCCCGACATCCTCAAGAATCCGGCAGGGCGCTGTCACCCACTCGCCCTTCAAGGACAGCTCTAGCTTGTAGTTTGGACCGTTTCAGGGGATCCTGGAATGTCTCGGGACTTTCGGAGACAGCTCAGGCCCTCCTATGGACTCCTGGGCCCCAGGCACTAGACGAGCTTACCTCGCTGCATGGCAGACGTGGGTCAGCTGGTATTTGGAAAGGGATACCGATCCCTTTTCAGCACCTCTGACGATCATCCTAAATTTTCTGTCTACTCTCTTTGATCAAGGCAAGTCCTATAGATCAATTGTTTTTAGATCTGCTATTTCTGCGGCCCACAACCCTATTGACAATGCATCAATAGGAAAACACCCTTCAGTTTGTAGACTTTTACGAGGGATCAGGCTAGCCAGACCCCCTCTTCCAAGATATTCCAATTTCTGGGACGTCACTCAGGTTTTTTCCCTTTTAGACTCCTGGCCCTCTAATGAGAATTTGACATTACGTCAACTCTCTGCCAAACTGGCCTTACTCCTATGTCTGGTATCCTTCCGTAGGGTCTCCCGACATTCGAGCATTTGATTTCCACGCTGTAGTTTTTTTGCCTGAGGGCGTTAAATTTCACATCACCAGGCGAACGAAGACTAATTCCTCCTCTGTATTCTACCCTTACTTTCCGAATAGACAGTCGCTTTGTGTGGCGCTCTGTGTAAGGCACTATATAGATGCCACAACCACTCTGCGTTCCCCTACAGGACCCCTTCTCGTTTCCTATGTCAGATCACACAAACCGGTGTCCGCTCCCACCGTCGCGCAGTGGATCAGATGGATACTAGCCCAAGCAGGTATTGACTCCTCTTTTGGAATGCATCCAGTCAGAGGAGCAGCCGCATCCTCAGCCTTTCGTGTAGTTCCCTCTCAGACATTTTGTCATCTGCAGATTGGACCAGGGAGTCGTACATTCTATTT